ATATATAAAATACGTCTTTTTAAATGATACGTGTAATCTTAAAGATATTTACTAGATATTATAAAAAATTTCTAATGATTTTTACATATATTATTTCGTACGAGATACCAATCCACGTCATTAATGGTGTAATGCAATTTAATCTAATGAGAGTATGTTCTCACGAGAAGAATGTCCGATTTTTTAAAAATAATCCAAAATGCAACGTTTCTCCTATGATAGGATCATCGATATATGTATTATACTAAACAGATTTCGCAAGAAAACGTGCATCGAACGTGGCTGACGGCCGTGGACGAAAATAACTAATTTCAGCAGCACTCGTGGACTGCATGGCTCTCATTCTCTATCTTTATTAGTCCTCTCTTTCTTTCTCTCTCTCTAGTTTCTTCCAACATCTGCAGCTCATCATCTTTGTGACTTTGTTCAAAGATATTTTAATTTAACCCTAGAATGCATAACAAAGATATTCCAAATTATAATAAATTAAGATAAAAAAAATGAAAACTGATTTTAGAATAAGATAGTATTTTAGATAAAAAATAATTATATTATAAAATAATTTAGAAAAATTGATTAAAATTATAGATAATATTATATGAAAAGAATAAATACAGCATGTGATTACAAAGATTTTATTTATGCATTCTAAAGTTAAATGTATGTTTTTCATCTATCATTTATCTGTTGCAATTTTTATGCGTTCCCACGATTTTTTATTTCTAAAATTTTAATCTTTTTATATATATCAGCTGTAATAAAAATCGTGGTAAAATGCTGATTTCGTCGAATTTGTTTGATTTTTTCGCGCCCAATGTTATTGTCGAGTATTATCTGCATTCTCATATCGTGTTTCGATGTGGGAATGAGCGCGACATAATTTTCCTAATGAGCTCTTCCAACCGTTGATGAAAATTATAGAGGATAAGACAATACATTTATATTTATGACAATGACGAAAAGGTCTGGTTTTCTACAATGCTAATCGTAATCTTCGTCGACGATGGTGTCGCGTATAAACGTCACGGAACGATAATCCATTCACAGTTATCTCGCGACGATCATGAATATTAGACTACTTACTACGGGAAAGCACGACTATGTCTGGCGACACAGAATGCAGATAGTTGCTTAATAGAAGGGCTTCTCGTATCCAATTAAGACACGTGTTTTATTATGTCCCCTCTTGCGTTTCCGCGATGTTGTACACCATTATTGACATTCGATACGAATTTATGCGGTTCTTCGTTAAACTTATCTATCAACTTTTTGATATATCTGAGCACAAAGTCTTTTTTATGTCTTGTTATTCGATAATCGATAATAATTTTTACGCATAAAACTCTCTCTAGAAATTAAATGTGATTATCAATTAACGCGAGATCTCATTTAAAATTCATAAAACTATCGAAATACGACCAAGCGTCTCATCTTGGGCACTTATACGTCTGGCGGCAATTAATAAATCGGGCGATTTATTAATTTGCTCAATTAATATTCTAATAATTTTTATGCGCGCATGGAATTCTTTGTAAAACTATTGTAAAATTCTCAAGCGCTTAAAATCGAGTAAGATATGATAAAAAAAATCTTCGGACAAAGTGAGAGATGCAGCGTCTCGGTTTGTCCTAAGTCTTTTTTTGTTATGTAGATTTAAAAAAAAATTAAAACAATGATTGTAATTTTCTGAGAAGAATAAAGGCACTCGATTCCTTTCACGCAGAGAAGTGCATATATTTTTCTGAATAAGAACAATTCGTCGAACGCTGAAAATAGACGTTCGACTCTACTCGATGCTATTTTCTTCTAGCACTTGGCACTTCGCGTGCCCGTATAAGCTCGACTTTGTCTCTGATCCCAATTGATCGAATTAAATTTGTATACGTCATCTTCGATGATGCACGAATCGATGTCGTGATTAGATTCACGTGCGAGGGAGCAAACTTAATGCGTGCGTGAAGCCGAGTTTTGTTCCAATTGAGACTGCTGCACGAGGATACTCGTGCCGTTCGTTTACGGATACATTCCTACTCAAGGACGAGAGCGCAATGTAAATTGTGCGCAAAAATGCGTGGAAAGATTAATTTTTTTCTTTATCGTTCTACAATACTTTGAGATTCTTAATCGATCAAAAATATAAAAAAAATGATCGCAAAAAAAATTATTTTTATAATTTTTCAGTTATACTTAGCAATTACATAGAATAATAATAATAATGCAGTTCAATAGATTTCTAATTTATATTTAATAATCTCTCAATGAGTTCTCAATTTGCTGTTATATACTGTATTAAATATTCATACATTATAAAAGAATTACGATAATTCTTTAATAATAGTTAAAAAGTTATTATGCCTTTATTGTTTTTCTAAAGTATTTAAATATGCTAACAAAAAGCTGTTCTATTAGAAATACTTTTCCAGATTAATTAATATAATGTTATCATATATATCTTACGATGTATGTGTGCAGGTGTGTCCCAGGGTCGCGCATAAAAAAAGCAGCAAGAAAAAGAATAGATCAAATGCGATATAAGTAAAATGATATCAAATTAATAAAAAGTAACTTGTAATTAAAAGTAATATGTGTGTGTATATTGGATTCTCTATTTTAAATATTATTATCCGTGTGCCTGATATTAACGTGTTTCAAGCAAAACCTAATAAATTATATAAACTTAATCAGGATCGATAAAATTGTTGTGCGACTGTATAATATCTTATTAACATAAATGTCCGCGATTATATTCTGCAAACTTCAGATATAGAGTTATAATATTATAAAAACAGAACACAAGAATTAAGTATCTACGCGGAAAAGAATTATACCGTACGTCCTTTTTTTTTTTAACGATTCTTACGTTATAACGTGTGAACAATTACTATTATATACTTGCAAAGAGCACAAAAACATTTTTCATCAGAAGAGCTCGCTACATATGCTGCATTGACAATCATTATATACAACATATAGCAGAAAGATTGAAATACGAGGAGCTAATTTATTCCTCGTGCGGATCTTCTCCAGTATACCCAGGGACGCGGGAAAGAATAATTATCATCTTTCTTTCTCCCACGAGCGACCTCCGGCTCTATAATGTCTCATTAGCAGTCGCGCTCACAACACGACGATTATGTAAATGCATATTCTGGAGATGAGGATAACAACATATCAATTATTAATGATTAAAGATAATAGGATAAGTGTGTCACTCTTGATCGACACTCGCCAAGCAATCATTAAAATGGGATTCCCATATATTCTTATGAAGATAGAATTTTGTAAACTTTATTACAATGTTGGCAAGTAGCAATTAATAATTGTTGATAATGTCAAAACCGTTAGTTTCGTTAAAAGGATGATTATTAAAGATTATTTGTTTTTTTCTAATTTTTTTCTTGCGAATACAATATTTCGTGCTACATTCGCAACTGTATTGATAAAAAACTGACGATTAGTGATAACATAAAATAGCAGATAGTATTCAAAATATATTCAGGTATCTTATTATTGACAGTATTAGGGACAGAAAACATCTGCTTTTAAGGTAAATATTAACTCTTTGCGCATATAATTATAGCCAGGCAAGTTGTCCTAATTTGTTCCCGAATGTAATCGAACTTTCATCCGCTAGTTGGCACAGTTATTTGAGCATTATAATGATCGAAGTATATATATGATAATATATATATACGATAGTTTCATGTTACGAAATCTTTCATATTCGATAAATTTTAGACACAATTATTCGTATGCTAATATTTCAATCAATCATATAATATAATAATTATTCAATTTTTGATGTAAAATTGTTTTGTATGTAAATCGAGATGAAACTTTTAAAAGAAGTTAATACAATATCCTTGTGTATGACAGAGAGAATAATTTATATATATACATATTAGAATTGCACACATACTGAAATGTCTCAGTTAAGGAAGTAACCGTTTATTTATAAATTTTGCAATAATTTTATTTCTTATAATGATATTACAGAGAGAAAGAGAGTAATAATATATATTTTTATATAATAAATTATACAATTATAAATCAATTGGATTTCAGAATTTCCTGAAATTAATTTCGCATAAATCACAATACATTGCGTATTGATATTACATAAAGTTTATTTTTACTATAAGTAATAGATAAATAGATGTTTAAAGCAAAATCATAAATCAATTTGATCACGATGACAGCTGCGTTATTGAGATGCAAAACAGTGCGAAATAAATATGCGCGCGTCAGAAAGAAATGTATTTTTGATTGCATCTACTTTATCGAGGAGTGGCGTTCTTCTTGGCGCATATTAGATGAAAATAATTAGGTTTCGTACATTTACGACTCAACGTACGTAAATGTGCCTTGTACGTGACCGGCGAGATGCAATAGTGCAACAGCAAACTAACAAAACGCGATCTCAGGGAAAAAACTTACTTGCCATGTTCCCTCGTCTGCCTTCATCTGCATAAAGCGAAGTAAACACGAAGTTGACGAAACAAAAAGAGAATAAGAGGCATTAGTAGCCTATGGTGCAGTGTTTCTCAATACTTTCGTTTCTTCTTTCGATTTTCTTTCTCATCCTAATCTTTTCTCATAGATGTAAATTAGATACGTCTATGAGAAAAGATTAGGATAAGAAAGTACAGTGTTGTTTAAAAAAAAAAGGGTATAATTTACTGAAAAATGTTCTGTCCTTAAAAATATCCGTAATCTCTCGAAAGATCATATGACCCATGCTGATAACCATATATTATTGATGACAAATTACGGCTCGATCATCCAATTATTTTATCATTTTACTATCAGATCACCGTTCGTGTTATGTTATTACCGCATTTCCAAGCGCGATATGCAAAGATCACGTTGTATTGACATTACAAATGCGATTCACGTAATCGGTGCAGCTTTAGTTGCTCCCAATAAATAATACGGACGAAGTTCATGTAGATTCTTAGAATAATAAAGATGTAATACAATCGAACTTCTTTTCTCTTAAAGCAATCGTCGAGACACGTGTCCGCTCATTTGCACGCGTCAAGCGTCAAATGAGCGGACACGTGTCTCGACGATCAAACATCGCGCATGCAACTGTCACGCTCATGTGTAAGGGCTTTAATTATAATTAGGCTCATGTAAATCGTTCTAGAAAGATTTATTATTACGAAGTTGATTTTTAGAGGATGTAGAAATGTGTTCCATATATACGGGATTACGTGTCTGCGTGAATAATAATTTCGTCCTCAACGTTAGTAGAACTTTGGACCAAGATTTTGGCCGGAGTTAGCGGGGTACTTTGGACCAGACTTTGGCTAGACTTTTCGGGAAATTCGTCTATGAATGAAATGTCAAAATAATATAAGAGACGAAACTTTCAGTATTAAATTGAGCACGTCGTCAAATTCATAGCATCAAATGCGCAAAAAAAAAAACGCGTTAAAAAATCGGCGATTCGGAAAAGAAACGTCGATTGGCAGAAGCTTTCGTGTTTCTTACGAGGGAATCAGAACACGGTCAGTCAACGGTCGCTGGCATGCTAGCTTGAGTTTTCACGTCGTTTGTCCGGCGATGTAAATTTAGATCGCTCTATGCTCGGTTTTGCGAAAATACGCCTTTCTTGCTAACGGAAGGAAGGAAGGAAGGAAGGAAGGAAGAAAGAAAGAAAGGAAGAGCAGAGCTCTTAGTAAAATTAAAATAAGTCAGAAACGAAAGAGTGTAATCGAAAATAATTCTTAGACCTTTTCGTAAGGATTTGAAATTCGGTCGAATTTTAATTATATAGTTTCTGACGTTTTTCGCGCTTTATCGTCTTTTGCGAATCTCGCAGTTTAAAAATGCGTGAAAATTTGCATATTTATATTTGCTAAAATAAGAAAAGATCCGTAGAATAAAATATGAATCATTCAAAAGCTAATAAAGTATTAGCTTTGCAATTAGTTTTTCAATTTTTCAATAATGTGCACTGATGAATATGAGTAAAAAAATAGATGAATTTTCAGTACCACTCGCAAAATGGCTATTCAATCTTTGGCTAAATAATAGAGCAATTAAGCGAACAATAATGACCGTGAACAGATTCGCCGAGAAGAAGTTTACAGTGACAAATACACGATGAGGAAAATTAATAACGCTGTCATTCGTCGTGACGTATCGAAACAACACGGTCCGTTCACAATGCACTGACTTAACTTTAATTAACCCTTTGCCGCGCGTGTCGTCAGCAATTACGGCGAAATTTCTTGGTATCCTTGATAACCAAGAAAACAAGATTTTTAATTCGTTTTATGCAAATGTCATACAATTTCAGAAATGTACCAGTGTTATGGATAATGTACAGCATATGCAGAATGAGATATTTAAATGAAAAAGAATAAAAGAATTATCCATTTCATAAAAAAGGTAGCATTCAATATCGAACAAAATTTCTATATAATTATAAGCCATAAATATGTTCAGATATTTCTAATTATATTTTTAATTATCTTATCTTATATATATGAAGAGAGATATAATGTGTTTGGTTTAAGTTTGTACACTCAGTTATTTTTTTAAATAATAGAATTATTTTCTTTTTCCGCTCATAACAACGTAACAGCAACAAAGAGGCAATATCTTATAAACAACGATTGAAAATCTCATTTTATTATCCTCATTATTAAATTTATCATAAAATATCTTGAAATTGTAGTAAAATAAATATATCCCATTTAAAAAAATAAAACAGTTATGGACAATATTTAAAAAACAAATTATTTTAAATTTTTATTTAGGTCATTATATAGATCTTAAAATAATTCCAATACACTTAAATTAAACACACTTTACATAAGATAAAATATTTGCTGTAGTAAAAATTCCGAAAAAATAAAGGGAATCGTCTCAAGATTATTTTCTTATTATTTTAGAAATGCCACACGCTTCAATTAAAATTCAGAAAAAAGATTTCTCCTTTAATATTATCAGCTAATATCAAACTATTTTTCGAAGAGGTCTATTCTTTCTCTCGTTGTACTTTCGATAACTTTTAATAAAAATGATAAAAAACTATGTGCGTCCGTAACTCTTTCGATTGCATATTGTTTCAGACAATTGCGGTGATAGAAAAAAAAAAAAAAAAATAACGCAAAAATGACTCTTTAAGGGATCACATGTATGATCGAATAATTCACCAAAGCATGCAGTTTCGCTAAAATTATTAAGCCGACGAGTGCGCGCATAGCATTATGTACAATGTTAACTACCTGATGCACGCTCGCTTATGTAATTACGAAATTTACGTAACTCAAAAATATACCGAAGACTGTATCAAATGCGGGTTAAATGCAAGCTCTGAAAAAAAAGGATGTTATGTGTGACTACGTTACCGATTTTATCTAGTCTCAAGCGGATAAACACACGTTCGCGCATGCATATGGCGAAGAATGATCTACCGATGCACTTACCAAGGGTTTTTTGACAATTGTGCTGGTGTCACTGTAGGATGTGACCTTCACATAGGGACTGGAGGCTGATATCGGTACTGTTATCATCTTAATTTTTGAAGCTTTCGTCTCACGAGATATGAATTTTTAAAAACTTATTTTACTAACTTCGTAGGATTGATTTACACACTTTATTATATACTCAGTTATCTGTATCTTTTTTCAACAAATGAAACAGCATAATCTTCACAGTTGGTTGTCGAGATGTCATTGACCGCAGTCACGGAAACGAATCAGTTTTTGAAATGAGGATCTTCGAGATATGTGTTCGCGTTATCTTTCTGTTGGAAATCTTTTTTTCGCAGTACCACTTTAGTCTTTGATAGTCTCAATTGTTTCTGATAGTTAAATTTTTCAAAAGTTAGCAAAAATTAATAATAGCAATGTAACAAAGGTATCGCGAAAAATGTCAATAGAATGTACTATGATTTCAGGAACGTGTAAAACAATCTGTTCGAGAATATGTAAGCGTACGATCATGTAAAAGTTTGATTCCAATAAAATAAATTAGAAATATTTAAAATTTTGCCAAATCAAGATTATT